TTTATATACATAAATAATGAAAAAAATTCAACTGAAATCAAAGTAAAATTATTTTTTTGCTATACTTTTATCAATTTGAAGAGAGTTAATTAGGTTAAAGGAAAATAATTTATTTTTAACAATTTTGAAGAAAATTTCGAATTGAACTGAAACTTATGTAATTCAGTGAATATTTATTTGTAATTGATTTGTAGATGGAAAGTTTTTTGTATTGTAAAATGTGTAATAATATTAATTAATTTAAAGAGACTTACATAAATTCTGTCATTTGTTTTAAGCAGAAAATATCTAATGGAAACAGAAGTTGTACAATTAAGTTAATGTGTCGTGACGGAATGGAAAATTTTGTTTTAACTGTCGTCTGTCTGTGTGTTTTAGAAGGAAAGTTTTACGACTGACTCTTATTAAATAATTGCGACGTGAGCGTAAACGTCGGTCGCACATGGCACAGAGTACTGAAAAAAAATAAACAAACATAGAAGTGAGAGTGATTTATTCGGACAAATTGTACAATTTATTTAATGTTTAAACAACGCTGCACGATTTATTTCCATACATTTACAGATTTATTTATATTCTAGATGGATAAAAAAAATGTCGGTGATAAAAATTACTCGGAAATATTTATTGTGAATTAGTAATGAAAATAAATTGAAAATGTAGTAAATAAATCATGAAAATTTTTATTACAATCCAAGATGAAAACTTGTATTTTCTTTTATTCAATTAATTTAATGAAAAATCAGTAATTTTCTTCAAATTAAAAAAAAAAATTTTTTTTACTACATTAAAAGATGAAAACTATTATAATCTACCATTTATAATAATTTCATATAAAAATCAGAAATTTTCTTCAATTTTTTTTAAATAATATTTTTTTTTTGTATTTTCTTCATTAATTTCATCATGTAGAAATGTAGAAATATTTGATTACATTCCAAGATGAAAATTACTCGGAAATATTTATTGTGAATTAGTAATGAAAATAAATTGAAAATGTAGTAAATAAATCATGAAAAATACAATAATTTTTTGTTAAATTATTAAAATTATTGTTTTGCTGCATTTATTTTCATTTCATGTATCAATATTTTATTAAAATCCAAGATGAAAATTTATATTTCCTTTTATTCAATTAATTTAATGAAACAATCAGTAATTCTCTTCAAATTAAAAAAAAAATTATTTTTTACTGTGTTTTTATTATTTTTATCATGTTTCTACATTTTGTTACATTCAAAGATGAAAAAAATAGTAATTTTCTTTAAAAATTTTAAAAATATTATTTTTTAGTGTGTTTTGGTTAAGGTTTCTACATTTTATTATATTTCAAGATGAAAACTTTTATAATCATCCAATTATATAAATTTCATTGAAAAAATCAGTAATTTTCTTCAAATTTTTACAAAAATTATTATTTTTTACCGTATTTTCGTTAATACCATCATGATTCTACATTTTATTACATTCTAAGATGAAAAATTAGTAATTTCCTTTAAACATTTTAAGAATGATTATTTTTTAGTATATTTTCGTTATGGTTTCTACATTTTATTATATTTCATAATGAAAACAATTATAATCTTCCAATTGTGGTAATTTCATGAAAAAATCAGTAGTTTTCTTCAATTTTTTTTTTTAAATATTATTTTTCACTGTATTTTAATCATATTTCTACATTTTATTACATCCTAAGATGAAAAAATCAGTAATTTTCTTCAAATTTTTGAAAAATTATTATTTTTTTACCGTATTTTCATTAACTTCATCATGTTTCTTCATTTTATTATATTCCAATAAGAAAACAATTATAATATTCCAATTATACTAATTTCATGAAAAATCATGTTTATTTTAAAAAAATTATTACTTTTTTACTATATTTTCGTTAACGTTTCCACATTTTATGACATTCCAAACTAATATGCATTTAATTTTTTATTAATATTATATAATGAATTTAACACAATTAAAAACTCAAAATTATGAACTATAAACCTGCGATTCTTATGTAATTCTATGGATTATTTGGACTTCATCTAACCATCGATTCTACAGTTCCTACTTGAACTATACCCAGAATAATGACCCTCATCCCCTACTCTCTCTCTCACTCCATCTCTTCACGACGGGCTATGATGTCGGACTTTTTTCATTTCGAGGGGGTCGAGAACAGGTGGGAATTACATTAATTCATTGCATCTGCGTGAAAGCCCCGCCGCTTTTGCCTACCTTCTTATTACATTTTTTTTCTTTTTCGACTACGTTTGCAACGGGGGTGGAAAAAAAATGAGATTGAAGTTGCGGAGGGTTTTTGGTGGAAATTTTCGTGCGGCGATGAATAATATTCGGTGGGCAAGACAGGGGCGATAAAATTCATAAGCGCTTTTCGTTTTAATTAATTTAGTTTTCGTGGATTTAATTAATTTAGTTTATAACAATATTTGCGCGAGAATTAGAAACCTGTTCCGGGAGTAGGGGGAGGGGTTGCCGACTAATGAAATATGAATATTACATGAATTTTGTCCTGCGCGACAATCCTGCGACGCAAATAAAAAATAAACGTGGATAATCAGGAAAGTTGAAAACACGGATTACTATTAATTCGTTTCAGGACATATGTTTTTTTTTACTTTTCTGTAATAAAAGCATATTTGTTATTATGACAAGTTTCAACGCTGTATGTGATAATATACAATCATTTGATGTTGAATTTCACGAAAAAGTTATATAATTAACAATTTTGTAATTTTTGTACAAAAAATAATAAAAATTGGGCACTCATTTTTATTTTGCTCAATTAAAATTTATTTTGTTTTGAAATTTTCAAACCGTACTATTGTGAATCCGCACTTAGCAAATCCGCAGTATGCGAGGTAATAAGAAACATATAATAATTATAGTAATGAACATAAAATATTTTGCGTATTTACATCTTAAAAATAATTCTGCAGATTTTTTTTTATAGAATATTTATTCGAAATAATTCATTAAATTTTCTATAATTAGTTACATATAAGTAATTATAGTAATAAACATAAAATATTTTGCCTCTTTACACCATAAAAATAATTTTACAGATTTTTTTTTTCTAAAATATTTATTCGAAATAATTCATTATATTTTCAAACCGTATTATAATGAATCCGCACTGATCAAAGCCGCAATACGTAAAGTTTCAGATGTAATTAATTACATAACATAATTACAGAAATAAACATTAAATATTTTGCATATTTTCACAATCACACAATTTTGCAGATTTTTTTGTTCGAAATTATAAATCAAAATTTATTTTTAATAAAACTCCATAAATTACCGAAATTATACAAATTTCTAGTTTTAAAATTATTATACAATACATATAGTTGTTGGAACAATAAATATTTACACAAAAAAAAAGAACAGTTTGAATTGTATATGCGAAATTTGTGTCATTGAAATATGAAATGCATTTAATATCGTTGCAATAAAGAATTTTTACATTTTTATTTTGCGCTGTGTAAAACGTACACAAATGCATGCATGCACAACATATTATGTGTTTTTCGTGTGTTAGAACGAAACGCAAATAAAATCCAAGTGTCACTTCATGTCACCATAAAAACCTTGGAGCGTAGCAGAACCGACGCCACTAGAAAACATTGATAAAAAAAGGACGTTTTTAAATTTAATTATCCTGCGAAACATTTGTAAAATGTTACACTTTGTTCAAGTAAAATTATTATATACGCTGTGTATTAACATGTTTTATTGTGTTTTACTTTGTTTAATTAATCGAAAAATATGATTAGTGAAAAAAATGCGTTGATCTGTAACATCTTCATTAATGTTATATCGCGTCAAATAGAATGAAATTTTCCATAGTCGCCTTCAAATCCAGTTTGAAACGGGAAGAAGGCGACAATTCAATACACATTATCTACAGATTCGTTTAATACTCTGCAAAAAACTACATTCTTCTGTACCATTCATTATATTACTGTATTCAATCACGTAAATTCATACGAATTAATTAATAATATGTAATACAATGCGAATAATATGATTTATCTATACTTCTCTTACGTAAATGAATATCTAGGGCAAACCAAGGTGATTTTAATCAATCGATTCGTGAAGGCGCGTCCTTCAATTACATATAAATAGCCTAAGGTATAATTAAGACTTTAATCAATTACAAAATTTAATATGGAAAATTACAAATCGATTCTTCATTTTCCACATTCAATTTAACAATAATCCTATCATCGTAAGTAGATCCTGCAGGATATCATTTTTTTCTTAATAAAATTAAACGAAATTTATCAAAATTTGTAGTAAAATTTTCAGATTACTAAAAATATTGTAACTGGTTTTATATATAATAAAAAAAACTAGTATAATTAGGCCGCAAGAGATTAAACCTCTATTTATTTTGATTTATACGTTCGAGGGAATTTGCAAGCAATTATTTTACTCGTAACGTGGTCTAATTACATTTCTTCGTTTGCGAAAAAGAATAAAATAAAATGGTTTTAATAATAATGAGCTCGATGATAATGTTTACTTTACAATCGAAATTCCCTAAGTTATTCTTTACTTAAGACAAAAAAAAAATATTTTGATGCTTGTACACAGATCTAATTTATTTTTTGTTAAACTTGAATAATTTGAAGAATTTCCATATCTTTCATTTCCGTTTGTTTTAGGATAGAATTTAGAAAACTTATGTAACATGAAGTATTTCCATATTCATTATCGTTTGTTTCAGGATGTTTCTATGAAGTATAAAGGATAAATGATGAAATTTTATGTAACATGGACTAATTATTAGATTTTATTTTGTGAGAAAATACTCGAAGAATTCTCATTGGATAAAGTTTAAACTGAAATTATTTCGACGCTTGTAGAAATCGAGTTTCTATTTTTTTTTGTTCAAATTGAAATATTTGTATGTGTTTTATATGCAAACTGTTTGAAGAATTTCGATTTTCAATATCGTTTGTCTCCGTTTGTTCCAGGATGCTGCTATGATGTATAAAGGATCGTAAAAAGGATCAAAGATGCACGGAATATCGCCGACGACGCCACCCTCGTACCCCACCTTCGCTTACCCTCGCCGCGTCTCTCCACCCGGAAGTCCAGCCCCGAAGAAGTGTTGTTATGACCACGCGGAGACATACAGAAACCGCGAGTCCTTCCTGTGCTGCTGCTACACCTGCCCGAAGAGGTCCTCCACGTCCGTCTTCGCAACCGTCGCAGTTTGCTGCATGGTATTGGGATACACGATCCTCGGGGCTTTCGTGTTCATGGCCTTGGAAGGCGGTTTTCGCCGGGACACTTCCATAGCCGCCTCCAAATCCAGTTTGAAACGGGAAGGAGGCGGCGTCGCCGGAGATTTACGTTCGCAAACCGTAGAGCGTTTATGGAGCATCACGGAGAACCTAAACATTCTGTATAGAGAGAATTGGACGAGATTGGCGGCCGAAGAAGTGATGGAGTTCCAGGAAGCGCTGTTCAGAGCTCTTAGATCTGGAGCAGGCTACGTCGGACCAGGCGACTCTACCATCCTCTACCATCAGCACCCGCACCGATGGAGCTTCAGCTCGTCCTTCCTGTACTCCCTGACACTCATCACTACAATAGGTAAGCGATTTGAATAAATAAAGGACGACCTCTCGCGGAAACATATTCACACCCCCTAACCTACTTACGAATTTAAATAACCGTTTCCTCCTTGCGCGCGCGAAGTAGGCCTTTCTGCCCTAACTACCCGCTTTTTTTATCTCTCTCTCTCTCTCTCTTGTATTCAGCATTTAAATAAATAATAGTACATGGTAAAAGCTAGTTCCAGCGGAGGATGAAAAAAATCAAATGGAACGTTCCATGCATGGCTATAAAACGCTAACACTCTTCGTTGAATTAAAGATGAGCTACGTGTTTGAATAGCTCCACGCGTTCAGAGGAAAAGTCCTCCCTTTTCATCGCAGCAGGAGCGCGTGTCTACTATATAGTATACTATATAGTACATATAGTTTTTTTTTTTCTTGTCCATCCCTCGTCGCATCTTCCATTTATTTTTCTCTCTAGACGTAAGGCTAAATGCGCTTAAAATAAATTCGCGATTCGCGGAGACTTATTAAGGCTCTAAATAATGGAGATCCCGGATCCACTTGTTCGGGTACACCGAATCACCGCATGAAAGGCGCGAGGATTGAAGTAAGGGAACGACCGGAAAAGAGATGGGACGGATAGAAAGAACCGCAATTCAACTGCATTGAAATCCATTCGCGTTGGTTTTTATAAAAGGAATTGATTTCTATATTTGACGGGAATCCGATTGGATTTAGAATTATCCATCTTGACTATACCATAATCAATATTAATTACTAAAATCTACATCTTTTATCTATTAATCATATAATTATACTAATATACTTTGAAAGATTGAAAAGTTAAAGTTACAAATACATTTTTTATATCGTAATTTAACATCAAATTCACTGTGGATATTTACCAATTTGATGATTATTTAAATCTATGTACTAAATTTGCAACGCCTATTTATTGTTTCACTGTTGTAAAACAGACCAGTAGCCATAATATTAGTATTTGACTTCAGTCTATCTTTGTATCTACTACTAAACGTTGGTATTGTATCCTCGATCATATATATAAGATCTACATGTCCTGACGACATTTCTCAGGTATTTTGATTGAAACCTTTGGATAAGTTATACGTTGGTGCTTCTTCTGTCGAGATACATGACTTTTCATGATTTGGGCAGTGTTTCTTTAGTTTTAATGTGATATGCACGAATTCATTTCGTTAACTTTTATTCTCCAATTTTTGAGCCATTCCTGTAGCTCAGCGGTCGGGGAACCGTGGTAAATTAACCAAAATGGGGTAAAAATGAAATTTTTCTAATTTCATCTTATCAAACTCAGAGAGCGGTTCTCTGACTACTTTCCAGATCTTGATATACAAACTGTGAATTGGGTTGTAGATCCTTTTAAATGTGAAATT